TTTATATGAGGCAGTTTAATGAGAGGCCATCTGAACTTCACTGGAGGAGTGTTAAACATCTTTTCTGCTATCTTAAAGAGACCAAACATTTATCCCTTACATTCAGAAAGACAGGAAAGTTCCTTGAAACATTCTCTGATGCTGACAAGGTCGACAGAAAGTCCTTCAGTGGATATGTTTTGATCTCAGGTGTTGCTGCAATATCTTGGTGTAGTAAGAAGCAGTCTACTGTTGCCCTATCGTACAGCAGAAGCCGAATATGTGTCTGCTGGCCTTACTACAAAGGAAGTTTTATGGATAAGGGGAGTGTTGAAGTTTATCCTATCGCCCTCAGTTATAAAAGAAGACAACAAAACAACTATGTTCATCACACAAAACCAAACTACATTTGAACGCACTAAGCACATGGACATCAAGCATTACTTCATCTGTGACAATACTGAGCAAGGTGATTAAATTGCAATATGTAAATTCCAAGGAAAACATAGCTGATCTAATAAAAAAAAAACATCTCAAAGACAGTGTTAACCAACTTGAGAAAATATTTAGATTTTTACAAATAGCCCTCCCATGTGTAATATAAAAGGTGACTGTGTATGCTCATAACACTTGTAAATTTCTTTTACCAATTTTTTTATTGTTCAGTTATGAAGAGTTTCTGTAAATTCCTTTTTTTTTTTTTTTTTTATTTTTTTTTTTTTTTTTATTAATCCTTCATTTTGAAGGTTGTATTTAATCAATTTAAGTGAAAGTTTTTTTAGGCATATTTTGGCAAGGAGAAGTGTTAGAAATAAATTTTATTTTATTTTTATGATGTTGTATCTGCCAAAGCAATGCTATAATTATAGACTCTATGTTCCTTAATATTCATGTGTAGCTGCTTTTTTGCTGAATGGCAATAGTTTAGTTAGTCAAGTTAATAAACATGTAATGTGCATTTGTGATTTGCTTATTTCTTTCTACTATATTACAAAGTATATCTGACATTTAAGTAATTTCTATCAGGTTCAAGGCACGATTAGCAATGTGGTAGTATGATCCACCTTTTTTTGCAGGTCCGCATTCTTCACACAAAACCATTCCACAGGTTGCGAAGGGTTTAAGGGAGACAGGCTACATGACTAGCTGACATTGAACCGGCAGAGCAGCTAACATAGGGCAGAAAGTAAAGTCGGAAGATGTATTATCATAAGCTCTCACATATCCGAACAGTAGTCCACAAGACAAGAGTTTAAAACTGTAACCTTTCAATAGGTCAAGTTTGGAAACTCCTACACAAATTAGGTGCTCATCCATACCTGAAAAAACCTCATCAAGCATTACTGGACGGGGATTCCAAGACGTTTTGCATGGTGCAATTTAGTCATGAACCAGACAGATATTTAGCCAACATTCATAGTGCATATACTGTGGATGCAAGAGGCATGCTTCTCGTGGAATGAAATGTACAATAGGCAGAACACCCATTACTGGGTACTGGAAGATCCATCATGTTCTGCCGATGTTCAACATCAAATACAGTTTTCGACTACTGTTTGAATTACACTGTGAAATTTACAATAACAGGTTAATTGGCCAGGGTACATATTAACAGCCACAAAATATTTATATTTTCTGCAAGACACATATCCAATTTTGTTGAGAACTTGCCGTTGCTTCAACTCTGAAATGGTTGGTTCCAACATGACAGCGCGCTTGTGCACAAGACATCACCAGTGAAGCAGTACCTGACGGAGGAATTAGGAGAATGAATAATTGGGTAAGGCAATTTTTTAGTGTGGCCTCCACATTCATCTGACCTTACTTCAATGAATATTTTCCTATGGGGATACCTCAAACAGCAGGTGCATGCAAACCCTCTGTAAACACTGCAAAACTTTCAACGTATTACAGAAACTTGTACAAATGTGTCACCTGCTATGCTACAATGTGAAATTCTAACAAGGATCCAGATACACATTTCAGCTGATGGAGAGAAGTCTGAACATCGAAAATAAAAATAAGTTGTGATAACTATCTATTTTTTCCTTTGTCTAAGATCATTTCATCCCGTCATAGTATAGAAAATTGTGAAAACTAACACACATTTAAAACATTCATGTCCACTAGGTATCTTATCGTACTTAAATCGATGATGCTCTACAACTTTCTCATTCAATTTTTTCTTCTAGCTCGTACCGTTTTAGAGATAGGAGCGCTAATTCTGTCTTCTTCCATCAGGTGCTGCTATAAACAGTCTCATTTAGTAGCGCACAGCCACTTTACTATACCTAGACACCACTTTTATGACTATAATTGCAGCCATTCTACTGTTAAATAGGTGGTATCGAATTTATATATGTAAGATATGAAATATGAAAAAAAAAAAAAAAAAAACTACTAACTTTAACTAGGCAAAAGCCCTTTTAACTTCAAATTAATTACACTCTAAAATTATTATTTACTTATATAAATTATTTTTGTCATATCGATATATACAAAACATATGATATGGATTAATATCATATGTTTAAGGTATTGATCCATATCATATGTTTTTTACATATATAAATATTTTTATAATAAGGTCAGAAAAATTTATTATAATCAGTTCTTAAAATAAAAGTCTGATGTGTACACCACATGACTTCCTTGTACAGAATATTAAATTATACAAATTTTTTTCTGCATTTCATTTAAACGTATTTCCCTGAATTTAATTAGAGATATATTTCTCATTTAATCACTTCAGTTTTCACTTCATGACAAGGCTTAAAACCTCAAAATATCTTTATTAAAAATTGAAAAATAAAAAACATCAAATACATTTAATTAAAAAAATTGAAAAATATAAAACATCAAATACAGTTAAAATAATTAAAAACATTTTTTTACAATTAAAACTTGGAAATTTCTATGGAAAAACAAGCAATTCGGCCAGCGGGCAAGAAGGCAGATTTTTCAGTACACAAAACTGAAAGTTTAGTTTTGGTCCCACTGGGCAAAAAGACACTGAAGAAGCAGAAACTGACTGAATTCACTATTCTGTTAAGTTTCAAATGTAAACAAACATGGCTGCTATGGTAAAAAACAATTAGGCTTAACTTTACTTAAACAACTTTTAAATTGTTGATAATTCTATAACTATTGCATGCAGATTAACTATAGATATCAAAATCTCAACCAGAACATAATAACAACATAATTCATTTTTAAAGCCAAAAATGCTCTTTTTAAGAACATATTAGAATAAAAAACTGATCTCGCAGAGCCAAGTAACAGTGTGGGTATATATATATACTTTTGGTGCAGCTGATTGAAACCAAGAAATGAAGTGCGCAACTACATATTATAGCAGTTCTATATGCAAAATGTCAGCATTTTGAGGATACTTGTTTTTGAGTTATGTGAGATACATGCATATGTCACGAAAAAACCTCTTTTAAATCCATTTTTAATCCTTTTTGCATCTTTGAATTGCATTCGATAGCGGTCAAAATGGGTATTTTCATTGAAATATGATACCTGGAAATTTTCATGATTACAGTACTTCCTTTGTCCAAGGAAGTAAAAAAGAGAAATCTTCAAATTAAAAGGAAAAGTAAAGGAGTTATAGCAAACTTAAGTTAGAATTTTGATTTACATAATTTTTATGTTATATATAAAGCATAAACCTAACAACTATATAAATTATGATTTGATGTAATAAAAAATGACTTCATTTATTGAACATATTTTTTTTAATGAAGTTTTCTTGGATTCTGTTTCACACCATGTACACATTCCCATATATGTGTGTGTATAAGATGCAACATATGAAAGAAATTAACAAATTGCTAACTTAATTGGAAATAGCCCTGTTAATTCCTATTTTTACTTCCTTGTACAAAGTAAAAAGGAAGTACAGTAATTGCGAAACATTTTGGGTGTCACATTTCAATGAAAATATTCATTTTGACCACTATCAAATGCAATTTAATGATGTTTTCGAGTGACATCTGTATGTAAGGACAGAATAAAGGGCTCTTTCCCCCCAAAAAATTATGAAACTCATTTAAAATAAATTCCAAAGAGATTTTTTTCGCGGCATCTGTGCGTACATATCTCACATAACTCAAAAACGAGTAGCCTCAGAAAATGTAGGACTGCTATAATATGTAGATGTGCCCTCGCATTTTGGTTGCAATTGGCTGCACCAAAAGTATATAAATATATGTATATGAAATTATATAAGCACAAGGAAAAGCCAGAGCAGTGTTGATGCTTGCTTAGATACATATTTGAAGAAGAATTTTGATTGCATAGGATGCTAATACTGTTAACTTGGTAATATCTAAAGAACTTGGCAGTCGAAGCAGTTTTAATTCCATTTTTATTTCCAATTGATATTTGTGGCCAAAATCACAGTGGGTTCATGGATGTACGATAAAATAAATTTTACCAATTGCCTCTACATCAATGAAAATTAATCTGGAATATTAATCTCCAAATTTACTCTCAATGAATATTACGTGCAGCTTCTGGTCTCTCTGAAGTTAAACCTACTAAATTTTTAAAAAATTTTCCAACCTAATCAAAAAAGGTAGCTGTTTCATTTAGTATTTAGCAGTACCAAATGGCATATTGTTGACTCAAGCTTGAAATTCAGAGAACGCAGATATTTATTAAATCCGTAGCTCTTTGTGGCATGATGGCTCTTATAATAATGTTAAGAGCTTGTGTTAGAGGAAAAGGGAGCAGGAGACTTTGGACTCATCAACTGTAGTCTTCTCCATCAAAAGTAGAAGCAGAGAAATCTTGCATTGTCACCTAATTTACCTAATTACCTAATTTAATAATGTCACCTAATTTAATAAATCACAGATTTGCCAGCAACACAAACAAGCCTTTCCTTTCTGGCCACAATAAATTCTTAAAACTGATGTAGTCTAGATTAGAAGGCTTTATCACAACATAACATAAAAGAAGAAAAATAACTTTGATGTGTTTAAAAGAAAGATGAATTTATAAATTTTATTTACCACGTTGGAGTTAGTGAATTTGGAGAAAATATGATAGGACTTTTCTTCACGGTGGCAGAATTTCTTCTATTGGACTGAAACATTTTGAACAAGCAAAGTTAAAATTTTCTTTAAAAGGTAAACATTATTGACAATAATATAATTAAATTTAAAGACAAAATTCAGATACTTACTTTATCAGAAATGTCATAACGTTCATCAGAGCTAAATTATTTATTAAAGAAATTTTCTAGCAGTGAGCCTAATATACAAAAAGTTAAAATTTCATAAAACAATAAGGAAGAAAATAACATAATATTGCATTATAATTAGTGTTCCATGTACTGAAGTGCTTTTGCATATCAGTGAAAACAATTCATCCCAACCACCTTTATGCCTGCAAGCTTCTTGTAAAAGTAATTCAAGTAGTAACTTCGTGAAACAAGTGAATCCAATATGACTGCAGATACTAGTTAAAACTGAAAGTAAATTGAGCTTAGTAATAAAAACAGATTCAATAGATTCTTTAGGGGCAATGCAAAACAATTCATCTTAATGAGTATTCTATTTCAACCTCAGTAAAATCTGATCTTGCTCCTCACTTCCATTTGAAGCCTAACAGGAGCTAAAATTATCCTTCCCATTATGTCTTTCACTTGAGACATCAGCTGGTGCAACTCATGAATGTTATTCACACTCAAACTAATTTTAATTTTTGGATGCTTCCTGAAATACAGCATTTTTATTAGCTTTCCATATTCAGTTGATACTTTATGGTAGCTTTTAAAAGGAAAGGAATTAATGTGACTCTGAATACCACATGACAGTGTCACTAAATTTCAGTTTTCTCTCATTCTTTTATCCTCCTATCATAAAAAATTTAAGACATCTCGCTTTTTTGGATTTATACTTAGTTGCAGAGTACCACCCAGATAGTATAGTGGTTAGGGAAGTCTGACTGCGATACCAAATGGCCTGGGTTCAAATTCCGGAGAAGGCATGGTTGTAATTGTCCATCCCTTCATAGGAGGCAATGGTGGCCCACCTGTTAGGTGCCTCTATAATAAAGAGGCCACCACATCTGGCCTTAGTATAGATTAATAGACTCTGTTACAAAACTGTAACTGTTTAAAATCTGCCATTGGGGAGAGGAATATTTAGTTGCAGAAAAGCTTGCCATAAAAACTATTGCTTCTAAAATTCCCATAGTATTTATAGAGACAAGCTTCATCCCTTACTTGAGCACTTATTTAAGGTTGCAAAATCTCAATATTTAGCTGATGCACCAAAGGTGTAATTCTGTAGTACTGCTTGAAAATTTTAAGACAGATCAATTACACAAATCATGACAAAAATCATTAGTGATTAGGTTTAACATACTTCCAATTATGTCATATCCATTTCAGTAAAACATTATTATAACTTCTAAACATGCCATCCTTAAGTAGGCATTTGGACATAGAGCTTAACCTTGATTCAGCTATATTATATTTATGGCCAAGAGCAGGATGCCTAACCATGGATTTGTTGCTTCATATTTTTTATCTTGATTGATCTAAACAGTTTCTCGAAAATAAACTAGCATTTTTTTGTCCAAGATATCAGCAGATTTCTTTGCAATGGGATCTCTTACTCATAAAGTCTTCAAGTCCCAAAATTTTGACACATTGGAATTCTGAATGGAATAATGTAACATGAAAGGCCTCAAGAATATGAAGCTTCGCTAGAAAAATGAGGTTACAGAGACAAGTCAATTTAATATTGAGGTAAATGTTTAGTTTGGCAAGATAGCACCTAGCTGGCAATGGTTTTGCTGCCTAATTTTTTTTAGTCAAATATGGTGAGAAATCATGAAACTTGGCTACCGTTTGGATCCAATTAATATGTAACTGTACGTGGTTTCCAGCAATTTAGAAAAATCACATATATTGGAAGTTTCTCGATGGACAGGCCAAAACTATTTAATACTAATCTGAGCCTGGAATAAATAAACTCACATATACTGAAGGCTTTATCTAGGTCTGGAGTTCGATACCACTTGGTGCAGTCTCTACGGATCCTAAATTCTGCTACAAAGCACTTTCCTAAGTTCTAAATTTTCACCACACCTAAACTTTGGATCGCAGTGCTTTCCCTAAATCAAAAAAACCTTCTCATTCCTTAATTTTGCCGCTCGGTGCTCCCAAAGTTCCAAAAATTTCATCTTCCCTAAATTCTGCCTTCCAGTGCCGACATATTCTGCTGCCGCTTCTGGGTTTATCGTAAATAACATATAAGTTATTCTTAATTAAAATAGCACTAAATGTAATCTTTAATCTATGAGTTTCATTAACAAAATCTCTTTTTAGCATATGAAAAGAAGTTTTTGTTGAATTTTTCCTCAGCAACATTTCTTAGAGCATTTAAAAATATATAATCATAGCCAAGCGTAATGTTAGCATAAAAGGTTGCCATACTCTTGTTATTCAATTACGAATATAAAAAAAGTTTATACATCACTGCATGAGTTATTACTAAAGCTGTCATGTATTGATAAACATGCAGTGATGAAAGCAAAATACAATAAATAATGACTCGGGAGGTCGGCATCAGGGATAATATATAGATATAAAATAGGTGATATAAAAATAAGTGAATGTTTCAGTTTGAGATGTATGCCAAGTAGATACTCAGCTACGGAAGCAAATTATTAATCTCATAAATTTATGCTTACATGACTTTTTTCATAATGAGGTATTTTATTTAGTGCCTACGTAAAATTAAGAATCAGAATTTTTAAGTGAAAATCTCCACACGTTTTACAATGGAAGGAAAAATCAAACTGCGTATACGTAAAGAATAAAACAACAACAACAACAAAGGGGGGAAAAAAAAAAGAGGTTTGCGGCTTTGAGGTCTGGATTTTAGATCGTTCCGGATAATGGACATCCAGATTTCAGATTTTGTACTGTACACATGATTTGCCACAAGCCAGGCTTACTTTAAAGGCTCCCTTTTCTGATGTTGATTTGTAGTAAATAAAGCATCCATAAGCAGATTTGGAAGCATCTACAAATTCGTGAAGGGTACCTCAATCTGCACACATTCTATTTCCCAAAACTTCTCCAAAGTTTTGTTTAGACCAGTGTTATTCTCAAGCTGGAATGTACACTTCCCTACATTTCCATGGGAACGCTTTCACTTGCTATGTATCCAAAAAAATCAGATTACTATTAATCGGACAAATCTGACTTGGCTGCTACAGTTTATAAAAGATCTCAGCACTTAAAAGTAAATCTATATGGCCTGGCATATTAAAGTTTTCATTTGTAAGTTTTATATATTTTGATTCTGGTATATTAATTTTAAACATTTTTGATGGCATGAAATCCATAATTTTAGATACAATAAAAAAATATAATTCTTTTCCAAATTTTCCCTCAAAGTTAGAAATAGTTGCACTAACAACAAATTTAATTGCTATGAATGTATCTCCAATACCACAAACTGTCAAATTAGTTTTTCCTCTCTTTAAATTAAGGCTATTCACACAGTCTGACATCATATAATTATTCATGAATTCTTGATCTAAAATCACTCTAGATTTATTCCCTCTGGTTTTCTGTCTGATTTATTACCGGTGAAGAGAGCACGGAATTACTGTTTTGACTACATGAAGTGGAGACAGCTGTCTGAAATACAGAAGCATGTGGCGATAAACCAGTCCTTTTCTCTTACAGTGGGGGAATGAAGTTCATGGCCATTTGCTTTAGCTGCATTTCACTGAGCAATGACTCAGAATTTCTTGGATAATGTAAAGAAACATGATGGCGCTTCATCATTCCGATTCGCTTACACAAAGCACATGAAAATTGTGATTTACAAGATTTAACCAACAAATGTTGGCCCAAACAATTAAAGCAGTAATTATTTTTCTTAATTACTTCTACTCTTTCAGAAACAGGCAATGCCATATAATTTCTATATTTATTTTAGGAATGGCTTTCGAAACAAAAAATAGCTATCAGCTAGAAATATCCTAGGTACATTTCTCGAATTTGAGAATTTTTGATTATTATTCGTCAATGGTTTTCCCTGTGACACAAAAAACAGATCTGCTTCTTTCCCTAAGGTTACAGGATCAAACCAGCTATCTGATTATTTAATGCTGATAAGGGATGCAGTTTCTTTATCTAATGTTTGAAACAATTTGTCTGATATAATTAATTGCTTTAGTTTCTCAAAATCAGACACTTATAATTTTAAATAATAATTAAAGCTAGTCATCAAATGTGATGCAAATTGCTTATGGGTTCCATTTGCTTGCTAGGTAGTTTTTCTGACTTGCTCTAAACACAACTGAGACGTTGTTTTGAATTCTCGTAATACAATTTTCTTTACTTAATTAATCATAATAGTCAACTCATTATGACTTATGTAAGAAATTACTTTTGAAGATTTTTCACCTAGTAAATTCAAAAGAATCTTTACCCTTAAATTTCTCTGGCATGTATTTTTTATGAAGGATCTTTCCAAAGGGAGAGGAAAAAAAAAAAAAAAAAAAAAAAACCATCCTTCTAGCCGACTTGGAATTCTCATTGTTAAAGTTTTTATAATTTTTATTTGTGATTCCAGAGAATCATTTTTCTCAATTTTATTTTCTTAAGTGTTGCTGCTAGTTTTTGGAGCTGTTCACATGCGTGACAATCTAATTGTTTTCTAATCTAGTCTCTACTTTCCAGTCATCAATTATTCTATGAGATTAGATACAAATTCAGGTTCTTTTCTGAATTTCTCAGTATTCTTTATAATACTAATCAGATCTGTAATCGTTATTCTATCTGTTACTACCTCTCCTCACTCTGTAGCAGCAAGCTGCAAATAATTTTTTCTCGTGTTTTTAAACAATTTGAAAAAAAAAAAATCAGTTGTAAAACCCAACATAACTAACTCTTAATTCAGTAAAAATAACAACACAAATTATGATACGAGGGTAAATAACCAGAAAAGCTCATGCAACTACTTCAATACTAATTCCTAATTCAGTAGTACATCTTCAGAACGATTCACTTTTTGGTATGCAGCATCGTAGCATTATCAAAAAATGAAGGTTGAATTTTCCCATCTCATAATTATACATAGTGCACTTAATAACTCCTCTGGTTCTACGGACCAGATACTGATGAATACAGACATTTTTCACTAAAATTTCAGCGGACTGTATATATATTATTTACTTTCATTTT